AAACACTGTATTATATGTATTTCATTTCACACGTACACACTGAATATAAACTTCAAAAATGTTTACAAAGGAATCAAGCTTCAATAGCATAGTAGGTTGGATTCTAAAAATACATCAACATGATAAAACAGTATGAATGTGTTAACATAAAGCAACACAATGATGACAATATGTTATACGGATTGTGAATCCGGATTAACCGCTTCACGTGCGTGATAGGGTGCTAATAGTGATAGGCTGGAGCTAATGATAATACCAAAATAGATACATATGCACAATGGAAAAATAGAATTGCAAATCAAAATTTCTAGCTGTTACCTACACTTAAATATACCGCATAAATAAATTTAAATGCACTACTATCACAGGTAGTCTAAGGTACGAAAGAATTAAACAAAATAATAACACTGATAATATAATCGAGTATAATATCACTGGACTTTAGAAAGTCGTAGGTACTCATGAATTGACCTGTATATTCAATAAATATGCTAAGGAAGTACACTAACGATGTACAAAAGAATCCAAAACCTCTTATTCGATAAAATCACTGTATTACAACAAGAAACGCAAAAACTTGTAGCTGAGCAAAGTATACAAATAAAATATCTTCCCATCCACCATCACATAACCACCACTACTTGACAAGCACAGCACAGCACCATAATACACATAAAAGTATCGGTAAAAAATGGAACAACACTACCGACAGATAACCGTAATTTATTTCATATCACGTTTATAGTCGATTATTGGACTAAAATTAGCTTTATACTCTGTGGCCAATATTCCGTCTGTTAGAAGCATAGACAAAAAGGAACGAAATGTCATCGCGTAGCGGGAAAATATAATCTGTGGTTCGAACAATGAAAAAGTCAAGATGGCGGGAACTCGGAAATTATTGAGACGGCGTATTTGGTGTTGAGGGAATTTTATTCTATTTGAACATAGAGCAACACGGGCCACCGGCGGACCGGAGGGGAGTAGCCATACGCAGGCGTTCCCCTCTGTCAAAGTATAAGTCCAAATGGTCCTATGCGTACAATAAAACTAGTTGCAACTCAACTGCTCACCAGACTAAATCTAGTTGCGTTAGTGAATCGACGGCGTCGTAAAAATGTCGAATTGTTCTGTTTTTTGCTGCAAAAAAAGATCTGCCACGTCAAATTTATAAAAACATGGTGTTACCTTTCATATTAAGTAATTTTTAATCACATTATTGCTATTTACTTCTTATAAACTTAAAAAAACTACAATATTATCAGTCGTCTTGTTTCGGATTTGTTTACCAACAAATCCGTGCGTCCTCATACAAAACGCGGATCGGTCGAGCGACAGATCCGAGTTTTTTTCCTAGAATTCGCTGTCGCCGAGCGATAGCGTTGTTGCCGGTTTGTTTGTAGATAGTTATCGATAAAAATATAAAAGGTGAAGTCAAATGTGAGATTTTTTGGGATTAAGTTTTCTGATTTAAATAAAAAATACTGAGTGAGAACTTCAACTATATTGATTATTTACATATATTTATTTAAAATTCTCTATAAATTATATTTCTAAATACTACTTACAAAATTAAAAAAATAATATTTAAAAATATAAAAAATAGGACCCGACCAGTAGCGGGAGCATGGTCCAAGCTACCGGTGGTTAGGGCTCCAGAGACAGAAACCTCCTCACGATACGTGCCGTTTCTAGGAGAACTGCCTTCTGTATCAGGCCCTTGATCCATCCACCTAACGCCAGCCTCCTGAGATGGATGTCGAGGCTTTTAGGGATTAACCCATTGGCCGACACGACTATCGGCACAATGATAGCCGAATCCACACTCCACATGTCGACAACCTCGTGAGCTAAGTCTAGATATTTTATTTGTTTATCTTTCTCAGCTTTCACGAGGTTCTCGTCATGGGGAATGGTGACATCGATTATCATCGTGCGGCGTACTTGACGGTCTATCACTACTATGTCAGGTTTATTGGCTACAATAGTCCTGTCAGTAATGATAGACCGGTCCCAGTACAACGTGATATGGTCATTTTCCAGAACTGGGTCGGGCACATACTTGTAGTACGGTACCTCAGACTCAACAAGTCGATAGTGCAAAGCAAGTTGTTGATGGATAATCTTGGCTACTTGATTATGCCTATGCAAATATTCACTGTTAGCCAAACGACCACAACCAGAAATAATATGTCTAATGGATTCACCAGGACTATGACATGCCCGACATATGTCAACCGTCCCATCCTTAATTATATATTTCCGGTAGTTATTCGTAAGGATAACTTCGTCCATAATTGCACAGACAAATCCTTCAGTTTCTCCAAAGAGATTACTGAATCGTAGCCAAGATACGGACGCTAGAAAATCTACACTGGGCCCATGAAGGGCCCGGAAGAAGCGTCCGTGGAGCTCCTTGCTATGCCATACCTCCTTGCGATCATTGACGCTCAGTACCACAGGTTTGCGCCAGTTCTCTTTTGCCAAGGATAGCGGAGTGAATCCATTGTCCACCGCTGCTACTTCTCGATGCATACCCTCGTTGACTTTCAGGAAATATTCCCTGAGGCTGCACACCTCACGGTTGTGAAGGGTCTTAGCATTTAATAAGCCTCGACCACCACACTTCCGCGGGATGTACAACCTCATGACCGACGAACGAGGGTGATGCATGCGATTTGCAGTCAGCAGGGTCCGGACTCGTCTATCCAGGGTGTCAAGTTCAGTCTGTGTCCACTTGAGTATACCAAAAGAATACATTAGGACTGGCATGACCCAACCGTTAAAGGCTCGCACCTTGTTTCCGCCTGATAAGGAACTTTTTAGTACCTTATTCAGGCGGCCAAAGAAGCGCTCCTGTAGCGATTGCTTCATGTCCGGTCCATTAATGCCTAATCCTTCTGACATACCCAGGTACTTGTATGTATCGTTTGCGGAGAGTGATCTCAGTTTTGTGAAATCTGAGAGTTCTAGTCCCTCAGATTCCACAATCCCTCCTCGTTTTACATGCATGACCGCACACTTGTCTACTCCAAACTCCATTCTGATGGAACTACTAAATTTTTCAGTTATATTCAGTAGTTCCATCAATTGTTTCTTGTTTGGAGCAAACAACTTGAGGTCATCCATGTAAAGTAAGTGGGATATAACTAGACCCCTTCTCCGCAAAGGATAGCCTAGCCCTGAATCCTCCAGCAGAGTACTTAGAGGATTCAAGGCCAAGCAGAACCATAGTGGGCTCAGGCTGTCACCCTGGAATATTCCTCGTACTATCCTTACAGGTTCTTCATTCCCTTGGATTTGTCTACATCCCGGATAGCAAAGCACGGTGCTCCACTGCCTCATACATGACTCCAAGAAGGCGCGTAAACTTGCATGTATTTTATACAACTCCAGCACCTTCAGGAGCCATGTATGTGGCACAGAATCATATGCTTTTTTATAGTCTATCCAGCATGTAGACAAATCTTTTCGGGACCGACGAACCTGTTGGCTAACAACCATATCAATGAGGAGTAGCTCCTTAGTTCCACGAGACCCCTCCCTACATCCATTTTGAGACACAGACATGATGGAATTTTGTTCAATATGTTTTGTTATTTTTGTCCTCAAAATGGATGTAAGAAGTTTATAGACCGTTGGTAAACATGTGATTGGTCTATAATTTTTGGGCTCAGTGGAACTACCTGATTTATGGAGCAGGTGGGTAACTCCTGTTGTTAGAAATTGTGGTAACGACCCAATTTCCAAAGCTGCCTGGAAGTGTAATGCTAAGCGAAGTGTAATGATTATTATTATTATTTTATTTATTTATTGCAGATTTCCTAAAGATCCAAATTTAAGAGATATATTATGTAAGACATTTTGTTATAACAGACCAACCTGGGTTTCCCACAAGAAATATTGCCATTTGCTCAAATCAAGATGAATTAGCAAGATTAATAATGCAAAAATATACTAATACAATAATTTCTAACTTATTGAAAAAAACAAACCCCCAAAAATGTATTCGTCATATTTATAGAAAATTAATCTATTTTAAAAACCAGTTATAGTACCGTATCAGTATTTCATCACTGGTTTTTAAATGGGATTAGTAATTAAATTTATTTCAAAAAATGAAAATTTTATTTTTTACAATTATCTTGTCTGATTATTGTACTAGTAGGTAGTTAAGGGTATAATAATTAATTAGGTATAAAAAAGGGTATAATAATTAAAGTCAATAATAATATCTGTCTTTGAATAAATTTTTAAAGCTGATTTCCTTAACAGAGTTCTTGAATTTATCGATAATGCGTATCGATAATTGTTACAACTGCGTGTGTAAGTGTAGTTGCGTCATATTATTACACTATAACGACAGGGGTTGTTTAAATGTGTGTGTGAAATTGTCAGTGTATTTTTCAATTGTCATAGTGTGAGTTTCGTAGAGACATAGAATGTTTTTGTGTGAGAATTTGAGAATGTGTGATTTCCCCCCGCAAAAAATGACAGACAGTTTTGTATCGGTTTATAACGCAATGGCTACTCCCCTCCGTGTTGCTCTATGTATTTGAAAGTCAATTTGCCTATTCATGTGTTATTGTTGTTGTTTTTCTTTCCAATTAATAGTTATGGTTTAGCTAGTTCTGAATTTGTAATTGGATTTCGATGTTAACAATATAAGGTGAATTGTAATGGTGGTACTCTTTATTTCTCCTGTCTCCTGAGTTTCTAAAATCCAATGTGGTATAAAACAAATAAGTTACTAATATCAAAGAGCAAGGTGAACTCTATGACAGTTTTTAAGTTTTCTAATACGTCTATGATGATCACTCTATCGTAAATATAAACAAACTCTATGGTTCTACTACTTCAGTCGTCAGAAATGAAGAAATAAACATTTCATCTCTGTCTTTGTTCATTTCGTATGACGAATAGCCCAAGGTGTCAATCAGGGTATATTATATTTTTTGTGCAAAATAAAATTAGTATAAGGCCTAAATAAAATCAACAAAATGGGTAAAGGATTTAATAATTACATGTGCAAAAAGTTCTTCCATCCTGCATCAAGAGATAATTTGAAAAGGGTAAGTGAAGTAATGCGTATTGTATTTTATGCTATACTTTCGTAAGTTTCGTGTTGTTTATCAATATCTTCGTATCGACAGACTTTTGATTAAATATTAAACTATTTCATCGTTATGTATAGGTATGGATGGCAGAACAGAAAACAGAAGCTTACAAGAAAAAACAAGAGGAATTACGTGTTCAATATGAGAAAGAGCAAGAATTACATGAAAACAAGTAAGTTGCGTATTGTTGTGGTTTTATTCGAGTAGTAACCTCGAGTTCTAGCTTTAAAGTAAAAGCCATTTCAACTATTATTTTCTTCTAGGGCATTGCTGAGCAAAGATAGTAAAGATAAATTGAGCCTGAATTTTATGTATGAGCCGCCCCCAGGCGTGAAGAAAGAGAGAGAACGCGAAGATAATGAACCTGAATACAAATTTGAGTGGCAACGCAAGTACAACGCACCCAGGGAGAGCTATTGTAAAGGGGACAATGAAATCCGTGACCAACCTTTTGGTATACTGGTCCGCAATGTGAGATGTATCAAGTGTCACAAATGGGGTCACATAAATACAGGTAATTAGTAAAATTATTTAATTGTATCCTGTTTTTAACAATTAACTGTATTCATTATTTTATAGTCTTTATAATGTGGTGTTTATGTTTATTATTATATTACATGTGTTGTTTTTCAATAACTTAAATATGTTGGTCGCTGTAATTGATCATCTGTTGTAACTAATTAAATAAATAATATAAGCATCAGAAATCATTAAAAAATACTTGTGTAATGATTTTACAGACAAAGAATGTTCAATGTACTCCTTATCTATGAGTGAGGCTCGTGCCCTGCAAGCGTCTACTTCAGCTCCTGAAGAAGAAGAGGAGAAACCAGATGTTCCTACACTAATGCAGCAGATGAGAGATACTGGTTTGGTCATGAAACCTGGAGCTCTACCTCTGTCTGCTACAAAAATTGAAGAAAATGATTCTACCAGCTTCACTGAACAGGACCTTATCAGTCAACTGACTAAAAAGCAGAAGAAGAAGTTGTTGAAGTAAGTAGTCATAAGATTTTCTAATTAGACATGTGGTATTTTATTACTATAATTAGAATTACTAACTTCGTTTATCATACATTTTATTAGGAATCTGGCTATAAGTACTAGATATCGGAAAAAGTTTCAAAACATTGCTTAATCTCTCTAGATTAATTTGCATTTGATTAATCAATCTCTATTGATTTGCATTTGATCATAGCAATTACTGACCTACTTGTAGACCAACACTTCAGTTAACCATTAACATCTTTACATTTATTATTTACAGGAAATTGGAAAAAATGGAAAAACGGTCCGATAAAAAGAAGAAAGAGAAGAAACATAAGAAGTCCAAGCATTAAGAGGTTAGCGCGCATTTAGCTTTTAATTATGAGCTAAAGCTAGTAACTGGCCATGGCCAGAATCTTCATTTACTCTATGGCCTTAGAAATATCTAACTCAAGTGGCCTGGATGCCTGAATGCGCGCTTCAATAGAAGCAGACTGGTAGGATGTCGATATTGTGCGTGTGCTTAGTGTTTATTTTTATTTGTAGGCCAGAGCACCTTGCATTATTGTTTCAGTTATGCTATACAGTTTATATCAAGTCAATTAATCTTCGAATTTATTATGAATAATTGAACAGTTGCATCATAATTTATTCATACTTTAAGCCTGCAGATATTTAACTTAAGTAATATACAATTAAAACATTTGTTAAAAATATGCAGTTAATATAATTTTATTTCAAAGATATTTCGTCTTATTCATCTTAAAGTTGAAGCAAATCTTAAACTTTAATTAAGTTTATTATTAATTTAATCTTAATTAAAAAAATAAACACGAAAATATATTAAATATTTTTTATTTCTCACACAAACAATAGATTCAACAATATCACAGTAACTTGATCATTAACATCCTTAATATATAATTATATAGAATTTATCTTGTCTAACTTAAAGAAAAAATATATTAACAAAATATTATACTGTACAGGTTGGCAAACATTTTCTATGTTATAGTTTTTAAAATAAATATTGAGATTTTTGTTGTGTAATTATTTTTTTAATTCACATGTTTATCACACTTACTGCTGCAATGAATGAATATTGTTTCAGATAACTGTATCCCTAAGTGTCCTACTAGAGAATTTTATAACTGTAGTAAAGTTTTCAAATAAATCCCCAATGTATATTAAAAAAAAATTAAACAAGATATACACAATTAGAGACTTACCAGCTAATGTGAAAAGAATACATAACTATCTAAATCAGAGTCTGTTGTGCTGAAGGTGCAAATCATTATTTAGTGTGCCCTTATTACTTTCAAGTCATATTGCTTAGCTCTTAATAAACTAAAACCAAATTCTAGACTTTACATTATGACTCTTTTGGTAGTTTTCTAACACTTTTAAACAAGCAATTTTATTGAGCTATGTAAAAATTTGAAGAACACAGCTGTCCATATTACAGCCACTTTATCTTAAATACTATAAACCATAATTATTCCTAATGATTACACATTAAATCAGGTACATACAAAGTATCAAATTTTAACATAAGTCTTTTCATCAATTTCTATTATGTCCTGCCTGTCATTTCTTTCTTTCCAATGCAAATATAAGACACATCCAGTAATAATTACTATGATAGCAGTCAACACAAACACACTTTTAAGAATTACTTTACTAGGTGTAACAAACAGTTGAGCCTTCCACTGTGAGGGGTCACTGGGTGGTGCTGGTATTACAACTATCTGAGAATTAGGTATAATTTGAGTCCAACTTTTTGAAAAACCTGAAAGGCCCACATTCAAAGTGTCTACGAAATTAGGAGTACGATCCAAGCCAAAAATTGAATACGGCAGTTGTAGCGAAAAATATGCAGACTGTGAGAGTTGTGCACAAACACCTGTCCTGTAAGTCCCTTCTTGAGACCATGTGTTGTATCCTATTTTGGGGCCTGGCAGATTGGTGCCTGCAAATAACAAAAATTATAAATATCAACCTAAATATTTCTAAAACCAACAACTTAAAAAAAAGCAAGTTAAATTTCAATTCTTACCAAATGTGACTTTTCTGTTGTACAAAGTTCTATTATTTACTGGCAGTTTCTCATTGGTCAATCCAGTAACAACAATAACTTTAATGAAATTTGTATCATATTCTAATTCATTTCTGAATGAATGCATGGTATATTTCAGTGTGGTTGAATTTTTCTTTACATATATTATATCAAGTACACCATCCATGTAGAAATCGTAAAAGGTGGCCATTATAACATCTTTGCCAAAGGAATCAAACCTGTCCCATTGCACTTCAAATGTTCTATAAAACTTGCAACCTGGCAAGTTACATGGAATATTGTGAAGTAGAAAAGCCCTGGTTTCATTAGAATTCACAGGACTTAGTGTCATCAGGATGTCTGGGTAGCCATCCATATTGTAATCTCCACTTCTCATAGTGATAGTATCTAAATAAATTTCATCTCTTGGTGGTACAAAGCGCCATAACGTTCCTTTGCCATCATTGAAGTCCACTTGAAGGTCATGCCACTTCTGATTGTCATAGATCAATATAGTACTATTGAGGCATTGAAAGTCATAACAAACAGGAATAACTAAAAAGAATTCACCAGAGAGAGCAACATCTAGAAACAATGCTTGACCATATATAGTTGGATGGCCTACAAGTAGTTCAATACTATTGTTAAATCTGAACCCATCTAATTCATCATTCAGCCATACTTCAACATTAGTAGTTGTTGTAACGAGCAAATCTGCAGCATCATCTTCATTAACATCCAAAAACGAATGTGAATGTGGCAGTTTTATCATTTTGAACAAGTCATCTCCCATTTGCTTTTCGACCGGTGTTGTCCTCGTCTCATCAAACACCCAAAACACTCTTTGGTTTTGTGTATTCATTCCAAAAAGGTCCAGAATCATATCTCTGTTATAATCCATTACTAACGGCTGTCCTACTGAGATAGCCTTTATAAATAAAGCATCAGAGCAGTTCAGAGTAGGCTCTCCGCCCCATAATATTCTTACCGTATGTAAATTAGAAGTATCATTTATACTCTGTGTCGTCAACAATATGTCCATGTAAGCATCTCCGTCAAAATCGCCTGGCACAACACTTGTTATAATTATATTACTAAAATTACAAGAATATATGGAAGGCCTCAAGAATGGCTCCTTATCGTAAGCTAAATAGACATCCACACTTGAGAAATTTTTAATAACAAAGGCATCAGTTAATTCGTCCGAGTTGAAATCTCCAAACGCAGCTATAACACCTTCTTTGTGTTTTCCGAAAGAGCTTTCAGTCATATCACTTATTGCATAACTACTAGTCAATACGACACTAAAAATAATGTTATAAATTAATATTTTGAGGAACATTTTGCGTTATTTATGAAACATTTCACAAAGAACTCAACAATATTTATTTTCTATGTCGAACGTCGAGCAAACAGTTGTTAACAACGAATGACGTTTCCGATTATGGACGTCATTTCATTTGTTAATTTTTATGCGTACAAAAAAAACCGGATAACCGGTTCACATGTATTTCCTTTTAGTCGATTAATACTCCTATTGGTGTAATGATAAAATATGCAGGTCGTGCCGTGAATGGAAAGCTTTATTTAGAACTACTTGGAAAAGAATGTCAGTTACACATTTTGACAGCAAGTGTTAAAAAAAAAAACAAAATTTCTAATGGCGATGGATGAAGGCGATAACATATTGACGTGAAGAGAATATTGAATTAAAAGTCTAAGAATAATTAAACTATACCTTCGATACGCTAAACTACCTTGATTCAAGTGATTCATTTCATACTTTTCTAGTAATTGTAACATCCGCTCGAAATGGCTGTCGAAGCTGTACAAATATTGAGACGAAATCGACCCGGTTCTAAAGCAAAGGTATAGTATTTTAATTTATTTTATAGTGTTTCAAGATTAAAAGCCTGTACGATTATTGTTTTTTCATGTAAATGTTATGTTGTCTTAGGATTTTTGTCGCTGGCCAGACGAACCCTTTGAGGAAATGGACAGTACACTTGCAGTCCAACAATTCATACAACAAACAATACGACGCGATCCCTCAAATCTTGAAGCTATTCTGAAAATGCCTGAAGCTCAAGATGAAGGTGTTTGGAAATACGAACATTTGAGGTAAGTTTAGTCACATTACTAGTAGCAACAGCTACATAATAAGTTTAAAAGTTTTGCAGAAATAAATGTTTACTTCATTTACCTATTTGCAGACAATTTTGCATGGAGCTCAATGGATTGGCAGTAAAATTACAAGCTGAATGTAAGCCAGAAACTTGTACACAAATGACTGCTACAGAGCAATGGATTTTTCTTTGTGCTGCACATAAAACTCCAAAAGAATGTCCTGCTATTGACTACACAAGACACACCCTAGATGGAGCTGCTTGCTTGCTTAACAGTAACAAGTACTTTCCCAGCAGGTATGTCTGTACAATGATTCTTTCTAATTATTATTGCAATACCAGTGTAAAGTGTAATCTAAACTATGTTATTCCAGACTTAGATCTATCTCAGTCCTAGTTTCTATGATAGTCATAAACATCTACGCAAATATCCTTATTCTAGAAACTTTCACTTAAGTATGTAATATTATCATAATTATAGAAACTTTCATATATGCAATATTTTTGTTACAGGGTGAGTATCAAGGAATCATCAGTAGCTAAGCTGGGTTCAGTTTGCAGAAGAGTCTACAGAATATTTTCCCATGCATACTTCCACCATAGGGCCATCTTTGATGCCTTTGAGAAAGAGACTCACCTTTGCAAGAGATTTACTTATTTTGTTACAAAATATTCAATAATTTCAAAAGATATTCTGATCCTGCCCAAGCTGGATGATGAACAACCTGTTGGTGAATCGGAAGCCTGAGGTTTAAAGAAATAATTTGGTTCTAACTTTGAACCAAATTATAATCAATACTGACTGTTGTGTTCACAATGATTTGTGATGATAACTGAAGTACTCAAGTTTATGATAGTGTACCAACTAAAAAGTTACACAATTAATATTCCTTACATACTTAACATTTTTATCAATAAATATCATGGATAATATTTGGCAAATACTTTAGATCCCAGATACCAATATAGTCTGGAAGATACTTATTGTTATTTAACATAGTATAAAGTTGAGATGTATGTAATCATTGCATTTATAGCTTATTGTGTAAAGATGTCCAAAATTTTAATCCCTATTTATATGCATAGTAACCTCTAGTATTTAAATTATGTATGTGAAATTAGATCATTTAACTGCGATTATGCTCTCAAATATTAGTATGTGTAATACTCTTGTGTCACCCATAATGTTATTTATAAAAATAGACCTAAGTAAAATTGTGAGTTTATTATGTAATCTCTCTCATATTTCCTGTGCACAATAAAACAAATATATTAAAAAGTAAATTATTTATGTTTTCTTATGTTTAAATGGTTTCTTAGGTTTATGTGATTGGTTATGCTTTAAGTTGCTGCTCTGTTCCTTTTGCCAAAATTTCTTTCCGTTTAGACTTTGGTACCTGTAAAATAAGAGACATACATTTTATTTTATACAATCACGATTATAATTTATGCAAATTGAACTTCATCATTTTACATAATAAAATTATATTTATTGCTGCAGCTATGTTAACAATCCATATGTACATCATAATGCTCTTTACAACTAATGGTTCATCATATAATTAGCTATAATTTTCCATTTAAATGATATAAATTGTGTTCATTGTAAGCACTTACCCTACTTGGTTAGTATCAGGGATAGCATCCACTGAGAGCAGTATATGTATAATAGGTATTTGTCTCTTTACTACTAATGTCTCAAGACCATCTATTTTGGGTTCCCAATATTCTTCCACACTGAAAACAAATTAATGTTAGACTATTAGACAAGGCTATTTCTTTTTATGCAGGTGGCCTAGGTAAGTCCTAAAAATGATACAAAAGTAGCATCCTTACATTATAGAATACATACATACAATTGATACTTAATAATTTTACATGTTCACTGCAAACTCCAGGCTCCCTTCCAACCAAGTGGAATATGAAACCCTCACTTAGGAAAACGGTTATTCTCCAGTTTGAAATTTCTAATTACTGTGACCGATATTTTGACCTAAACTAATATGTTTAAAATATGTAATAAATTCATTGATCAATGTGGCATTTTGACTTTTGGCAGTTTTGTAGATGTATTTAAGACAAAATAGAAATGGTCACGGTAATTTGCAGAGCCCGAAGAATATATATAATTGAAATAATTAGAAACTGGAGAATGGCTGAGAAGGCTATGTTGAGTATGATACTGGACATAGGCATTAGCCTGAGATTGATTAAATATTGAAAAGAACTATGTTAGGTGAAGGTGAAATATAATAATTACAGTTCTTACTTTTTATATGACAGTTTTGTAACCTGATGTTGAATGGAAAACTGTCGTTTTAATATTTCAGCACATGATATGGCCTTGGATATTGCTACTCCAGCCCCAGTCCACACAACAGCAGTGGCTGCCTTATCTTCCAGAATACCTGCGGCATGGGACAGTAAATTGGACATCTTACTGCCACCTTTCACCTGTAATAAAAAAATAACACTCTTCAAATAAGTATTACATATGTTGTGCAATTACATTACATAAACCAGAACTTCTGCATTCTAAACGTGATTAATTTAAGGAACAGTAATAGTAGTAATGGATGGAAATGGTACATTTGCATTATAAATCACTTTCGAATTGTTATGTTTATAAATAAAAACACAAGGAATATCTTACTTGCATCCACAAAAAATTTTCTGGGAGATCTTTAATAGGTATTTTGTTCCGTTCCAGTTCTTCTTCCACATTTTTACCTTTACTGTAGTTTTCCATTTTATCAAACTATCTAATAGAAATAAAAATTATGGAATCTGACATAGAGTTTATAAATCAACAAAACCTCTTAGTTCAATTTTATAACCTCTAATATTTACATTCGTCGTAGTGACATTAGTAATTGACAGTCTTCACTTGACAATCTTGACATTACACACTTGAGACCTTGATATTCGGCTGCCATAAAAAAAAATTTTTGCTCTAGGTGTTGCTATTGTATCATATAGCTTCATGCCTTTTGTGCCTCAAAGGGGTAAGCACAGACATATTATACTTAAATGTCTAAAATCCACTAAAATCTGTTTTTACTACCTAAATTCCCTCATTCGACTTAACATCACATCGCTGTTCCTTTAAAATAAAATTCCATTGGTCAAGTGGTTGTAAGTGCGACTGCCGAGCAAGGTTTCGAGTTTGATTTCTGGGTCAGTCTTTATAGACTAGATATTGGGGATTTTCAGTCTTGACAAAATGTTTTAATCATACCAAAGAGTTTTCTATTACGCCCGGCTGGCCGGTGCATTTGCATGACAATAGCCTCATCTAATTATTACATGACATGGAACTCATAACCCCCTATACTTATTATACTCTTTGCTCATAACACATAACATAACATCACGCCTATTATCCCCGAAGAGGTAGGCAGAGACCGAACCCGAGACCCCTTGCCCGGCAATCGCAGTTGCGATCACTCGGCCAACGAGGCGGTCATAACATAACTGGGTAAAATTGTCATGTGCACCTTCGCATAAGGGTGCGACAATTTTATTAAATTGATAAGCTTTTCCTACTAATGATAGATGAATGAATGATAGAAGATACATAACAAGTTGAATAATTACTTAAATTAAAAAAATATATAAATACTAAATAAGCTTTGACATTGGCCAAGTATTTAATATTTTAATTTCCAATTCAATAACTTTGTCCGGTGCCAAATTTCGACTGGGATAACAGACAATAACCCCCAAAATGAACTGGGATGGACCAGTACACTCGGAAGTTAACTTCCGTTCGAGTTTTACAAGTAGATAAGCGAGGGTTTTAGGATTAAGTATAATTGTCTTATTTAAATGTTTCGTGGCAAAAACCGATACTTAGGCACTCAAGCCTGTCCTTAGAGTACGTAGGTGAGTACGTTTAATAAAATTTAATTTAATAAGCTTATCTTAATTATTTACCTACCTGCCCACTTAAGATTAGTCTATGAACCTATGTGTGGTAATTTTGGGTACTTAAGGTAGTTAGAAGAAAGGAAGTCTTGTTTTTACCTTAATTTTAGTTAATGAAAACAAAAAGAATTGATTACTTAAGTATTAGTAATCAGTTCATCATAATACGTTTTTCATTGTGTGCCGTGATGAGCCACCATAAATATGACCACATAAACCTCAAGTTTATAGTTTAATCACGTGGCGAAAATTACTTTAGGATTACAATAGACATTATGGTCTGTATACCGTCAAGGCAATTATTATAACTATTTACCTAATAATAACTTTATTTCACGATTAGTATGATTACCTATAGCTAAATGGAATTTGTGGTTGACACTTGAAACCCGATATGGAGGATTGTAACATGAAAATTCTTTTATTCTTTTTCTTGAACGACTTTAGTAGAGTTGTACCTACCACCTATAATTATGTATACCTCTACATGCACTAAATAAACAGTTTTATTTTGTTCTATACCTCTAATAAACCCATGATGAATATGTAACTAGCTGATTCTGCGCAGTTTCACCCGCTCTGCTCACTACTATTGAATACAGCGTGATGTTTCATAGCCTATAAACTAATTAGATACTTCAGGGGGTTCCCCGAAGTATCCAATTAGTGTATCTCATTCATATACCCAATTATTTTATTAATTTAAGCTAAAATGTGACGTTTGAATTGGAATTTCACAAAAGAGAAAGTTGTTAAGCTCTATCTAAGATTTATTTAAAATCTTTCTTTTATTTTCGAATATTTCTTCTTCTTTTATCTAAAATTGTATATTCTTTGGTGGATTTCAATATCGGTTGAAGAAATAACATTTAAATTCTTCTCGTTAGTCAAGTGGTTTGATACTGGAATAGAAAAAAAAATATAATGATTTTGACGGATTCTCAGTAAAATCAATGCGACAACTCACCAATCGTTAAAAACACTTAAGGGTGCCAGTGGCGTAGAGTGACTTAGCGGGGCCCCGTATAAAATTTGTTTGGGGGCTCTTATAAAGTAAAAAGATGGAAAAATACATATTATTACTTTTGTAAGACATACTAAATAAATTATTATGTTTTTTTGGCTTACTCACGTAATTATTTAACGAGGAACTCGACTAGTTTCAAGCAATGCTAGAGGCTCATACGCGCTGCTACTAGGTAGCGCGACAGTGCTCAGTAAAATTAGATGAGTTCCTTGTTAAATTACTTTAGTTTTTCGAGAGTATCTTCCAACCGTTGAACGCATGCTTCACGCGAGAAAAATATTACTTAAAAATCGCGGGTTACTCACGTAAATATACTGAGAAAAGCTCTATAGTTTCGAACTTTCAACCCATGGAGGGGTTCTTCCTCATGAGCAGCGTGCGATGTCGCGCAGCCTACTCGTGTGAGTAACCCGCGATTTCTAGTTAATCTAGTATGTCTCACGATAGTTATTATGCGAAAAATGTTGTTTATTTTGACTTTTGTGATTACTGGGAAATATTTAAGTTTGACTTACGCCCGTTGGTTGCCTTCTTAGTCCGGGGCCCCGTATAATTGATACGGCAGATACGGCGCTAGCTACGTCCCTGAAGGGTGCTCTAACATCGTGTTATGTTATGTGTACATGTAATAACCAGCGAAGGGAGGGTATTGCATTAAGTTGCATTGATTCTGAGAATAAAAGGAGTGATCTTCACACAGGTACTTGCGTACCTACTTAAGTTTCACCTTCAAGTAACTTGGATCCGTAACATCAAACATAGATAGGTACGATTATACTGATACTAAAACGGGAACATCGTTTATTTGCCTCTCCACAAGTAAAGGTTATCACTTGCGATGTAAATGCGTATTACAAGTCATGGCTAAGCAGTTATCTTTGCCGACATATATGAATAGCCAATATAGTCAGTAGAGTATGTTCCGTTACGATCATTACTCGGTAGCTAATATTAATAACAAATAACAATGCATATCTCATTCATTTACCTGTTTTGTTTTTCTTTCGTTCTCGTAAGCGCTCGAAATGCTTTTATTATGGACGAACGGTTTGTGTGCACCGTTAAGAGGTCGTGTCTAGAGTGTCTGAAGTTACCTCAATGTTCGTGGTGTCCAACAGAAAACAAATGCTTTTCGAAAACCCTGACGAAGTCTTTGGACTATTGTGGCAATGATACTATTCCTCACGTCGATTATGGATGTAAGTTTTAATATCTTTTCATTATAAGTAAAGTGTACCAATGATAATTTTTTCCCAGCACACCGCTCACGGGTATCCGTCCTCCTTCATTGATCTCTCCCTAGGTAGGGAGGATTTTCTGGAGTACTTAAGCTATTCGATATGTCACTTCAGCAGGTAGGAATCCTAAATTAAGAATATTTTCACGTAAATCACGTAAAAACCATTTGTACCTAAATCTATCTATGTAGGTATTATAAATTGATATTTCTTCGTATTTTCACGCTGCAGACTTAACACCGACTAGAGAGTATGTCTAGTGATCTGAGAGGTAGAATATGTTATAAATTCCTACTTACATATCCTAAACCCCAGAAGGGACACGAAACTTACGTGTCTGAATATTGAGAATAGGCCGTGGACGCAATATTAATGTCTTTTGTTCATATCTGGATAGTGAGTTTTGAAGAAAACGCTGAGTGTTCGTGCAGTAAAGGTGACGTGGGTCGAACCTGCTATCCACCCGGTGTCACCGAAGGGCCAGAGTGCTCCGGCCGAGGCACATGTGTTTGTGGCCAGTGTGTGTGCAACCCGCAACCTGATCCTCAATACCCGACCAAGGTAAACTAATTTATTGCATTTTTAATACACATAGTAAAGTCCTGGTAGATAATTGTGAAGTAACGCTTGGCTAATCTATTAAATAGTCACGGATTGGTCACCTCGAAGTTATGACAGTTACACTCCTCATATGATCAAAGTTGTCTGATACTGTTAAGTTCTCAGATCAAGCAAAATGTAGGACGGTATTTATAATTTATTTTTAAAATTAAACCGCCAGAATTTCTGTAAATAAATAATTCAAAAACATTATACGTAGTTAAAATGGTACTTAATTATCCTCCAGCCGTTTCTTTTTACGTCTATTCAAGTCTTTATAAAAGGACATCTCTAATTAATATCCCTTAATCCGATTTCGTAATTTAAAGTCTATTTATATTTTCTTTCAGACGGTGATGGGAGAGTACTGCGAGTACGACAATTTCTCGTGTGACGGCCCTAAATGCAATGAAGGGCCATATTCTCTCACCAACCCTAATGTAGTGGACGATCAAACTAAAACGACCGCTGTTGAAATACCGGCCTCATAACAATATGTTGAACTGTTCATCTATTATATACCTAATTTAAACTGTCAAATACCAAGCGGTCACCGGTGACCGCGACCTATTGTTCTTTAATTGTGTCTATAAAACCGGTACTCGACGAGTTAAATAAATGTATTAGAATTTGTTAAACGAAAAAATATACATTTATATACAGTATACTTTAATAAATACCTATGTTAAAAATGTTTGTAGCATAGTACTTAGATATTAATATAAACTTGTTATACTTATTCGTGTTTATGTGACTATCTTATCGTTACCATTGCGAAGTAATGGTTAAAGGTTAAAAGTAATTTATAATTAGCTGTCTATTAAAATGGTAAACGTATTAATCGAGCTTTACCATAAAGCAGCCCCTCTTGTAAAATAAATAAAGCTATCTGAAGTATTACGTTATAGGTCGAGAGATTTCAGTGTAAAGTGAAAAGTTCGCAGAATTTCTTTATAGTCGAGCTATGCTTAGCTATGTTATGAAGAATGCTCGGGTGGCTGGGAGCCGCGGCGGAGGCAATGAGGTTTTCAGGAGAAGCGTTGGAGCGGAGAAGCCGCGGCTCAATTAAGAAATTGATATGAGCCGGGCGTCTGTCGCGGATGGCTCATCGTTCTCAAGTGCTGCCCGTTATGGTTACGCGAAATTAGATTTCAACGAGTCTATTTTCTCTGCACAACGAGTTCACCTTTTATTTCCTCGATATTTATTGAACGGCTGCCTTAGATGTCGGAGCACTCCAAGATCGTAGTAAGCATGGCCGCGATTTAATTAGAAATTGATGTTGTTAATTAATGGGTGAACTTAATTAAGGATTACAAACAATGGAATTTGTAATGGGAATTTGTGATAAAAGGTAATTATTGCGATTAACGTTGGATAACGTCTGTCTCTGAATATCAGATATCAGTTATCACTTACCAAATATTACTCCATCAATAGAAAACTATTTATAGGTTTCCAATCATAACTTGTACAGGGAACTACCTACTACTAGTCTAGTAGAGTAAGAAGATTACTTATTGACAATACAATTCAGTAAGTAAGTAGCATGGCAACATTGTATTCTTACTGACAGACTATTATTCCGATCGGTTTGATCTCTATCTCCTATCTCGTACATTTAGGTCATTCGCCACACAGTGGTAGAAATGTTTTTTTCTTCACAACTTGTGGAGACGCTACAGTCGTTAAATGACACAATAAACTGAAACAGATCTCTTGAATGGGACAGAATGCGGTTTTAATTTTAAAAATATAATATGCTAAGAACGTGTCATATTTTATATTGTTTAGAAACCAATAATCTGATTTTCTGTTTCACGCGAAAGATTGTAAACCGGTCTCAGAAATGCATGAATTAATGAGTGCATTTTGATTGTGACTCACTTATTCTCAGAATAAAAGGTGTTGTTAGTTAAAGTACAGGAAATCTTTTGATAATTTCTTTTAGATTCTTAAGTTTAGCACTAGGCAGTGCTAATTAAAACGAAGTAATTTTAATTTTGGTCGGCACTCAGCACGCGTGTTTTTTTATGGAATAGGAGACAAACGACGGATCACCTGATGGTAAGCGATCAGCGCCGCCCATGGACACCCGCAACACCAGAGGAGTCACATGTGCGTTGCCGGCCTTTTAAAAAGGAATACGTTCTTTTCTTGAAGGTTTGAAGGTCGTATCGGTTCGGAAATACCGCCGACGACAGATCATTCCACAGTTTCGCTGTGTCCTCAAACTCCTGTGTCAGTGATGATCACAGGTAGTTTGATAGTTGTAGTTTAACTTATTATGAATGAAATCATACTAAGGACGCCGTTAGCCAAATTCTAAGCATCAAAATGTTAAGCCCATTAGGGAAAGCTCAATTTACCAAAAAAACGTTGCAAGTAAACGGCGAAAGATAGCAATGCCGTAAATACCTCCTTAATAAAATAAAACTGTCACCACAGTAAACGAATTTGTGTTCAATAATTGTGGCGGAATGCGGGCCTCGAGGAGCTGGGAGAAGATTCGATTATGGGGGAGCGCTTAAATTGTTTTAGTCTCGATCAGCATCATATACAAGATCCTAGGTAGTAGAAGCCGTTGAATAACATAATTACTATTTCAAGAAAATGAAAATTCATTGAAATATTCCTAATATAATGAATGAAAATTCATTTATATTCGCCAAGTAATCGATATTTTGTTTGTCTGTTCTCTCCGTAAAAACTGCTGAATAAAACTACGAAATGGACATATCGTTATGTTGGTTGAATGCTATCTAATAATTAATAACTAAAATAAATATAAGTTTATTTTGAAACAAATAGTAAAATTAGCAAAATGTTAAGGATTTTTAATTTTGCTACGCGCTACGCCGTAGTCGTAGTCGTAGGTCGCCCATATTTCATTTGCAGGACAACAGTTCAAACTCACAATACCTTCAGTGGATTATATACCTCTACAGAAATAGTTTTTAGGTAGACTTAGGGCTTGTTTCACAATATCTGGATAGCCGTTATCTATCAGATAAATTTGAATTAAGAACGTAATTTGTATGAACTATCTGTACATAAGTTTATCAGGTACTTATATAGAGATGGTGAAACCGGCGCTTAAAATAATACATTACTGTCTTTGACTGGTATTACCTACTTGGTTGTTTTTTATCTTCATATGATTTGATATCATAGTTTGTATAAAATTATAAATTATAAAATTCAACTTTATATATTTTGGCTACGGCGTAGTGCGTAGAATGCAGATGCGTAGTACGAACATTTTATGTAATGTAATAAAACTAAATTAAATACATTATACGTATTTACGTATTAATGTTACTAAACTTAATAAAGTTGTCTGTTGTTTTGTAACATAACATCATGCCTTTTATCCTCGAAGGGGTAGGCAGAGGTGCACATTATACCACTGTACAATGTAACACCCACTTTTTACTATTTAGGTTATGAGTCCCATGTAATAGGGGTGAGCCTGTTGCCATATACAGGGCACAATTCCAGACTCCGTGCTACTTTTGAGATTTTATAAAAAAATCCAGTTATACTTTGCCCGACCCGGGAATCGAACCCGAGATCCCCTGCCCGTCGCATTTGCAACCACTCAGTCAACGAGGCAGTCTTTGTTGTTTAGTCAGTATTTCAGAAATCTGTAAAGTATTGAAATGTTTTCAGTCATGCAGCAATCGTAACTGATTCCATGTAGTGCAATACGTATTTTTCGCAAAAGATGAATTTTCCAAGTTCCATGAAAGCATCCATGCTCACTGGAGCAAATACAATTTGAAAGTTAGATATTTAACAGACTGAATAGGTTAAATATCTGAAAACGAATTTTACTATTGAATAATTCGCGCTGAAACGTGATCGGACTTTTAAGCACGGAATAAGATGTCAATGGAGTCGGGCGGTGGATATATATTGCACAATAGGAGCCGAGATCACACATAATAATATGGCATTGGTATTCTGGAGTGGGGAAGAATGTGCGTTCCGACGGCGAGGCGGCGACTCCTTGGCGTGCCTCGTGCCCGTGCCTCGCCCGACGTCGCCAGCCGCGACCCCGCGCCACCGTGCCACCGCGCCACCACCCTTCACTTCCTAATTGTTTCCCACACGAATCTACTTATGAACATATAAACCAGTTTGTCTCATAACAAGGTCACATATTAATATCTCCATCGATGTGTTCCCAGCGTGTGTGGTACATAGATTTTAGACGTGTCCATTGAGGAAACCATACTATACATGAGACAGCTTTCATTCATAGGAGTTTACTGAAGTTTCAATATCTTTTTTCTCTATGTGCCGGTTTATCGTTAGTAGGTAAATAATTATAGGTATTTTTATGTTGTATTATGGTTCCTGATAAATAAAATACAAAAAAGTAAGATCTTCATTCTTCCATTGGTAATGTCGTGTTTTTAACGAACACATGGTCACTGATGGTAACCAATCGCTCTGTTCATGGACCGCGAACCCAGAGATGTTACAAGTGCACTGCGTTGTCATTGTTTCAGTGTTTTCATGATTGTCTCTACTGTAGATCCTGGCTTATAGGAGTTGTAGTGGTTTTGAAAAATGTGGTGGTTTGCCCAAAAAAGGCGTAATGCACAAACTTTATGAAACAAGAGACTCGAGTCCCAAGCCACAACACACTATTATTATATTATAATATGCAGAGCACTTACCCTCATCGACTCAGTCGGTAAGACATTAAACAGAGAACCAACTTCACGGCTTTTATGAAAATCTAAGAAATAATTGATCCTACTTTCCTGAGTCATCTTCACTCGTTACCCGCTCATAATCATATTAAAGTGTCACCTCAGGAGCCAGGAGTAGTAACAAGTGTCAATCTCGGAGGCACAATCCTGAGGAATATTTAGGACGGAGGGATGAACTTTGAATATTCATGTGGCCGCACTCGTAGACTCTTCAGCAACAACGAGTTCTCTTTCACCTATTTGGCATGATTTAAATTATTTATAAGCGAACCGTGTGCGGCCCGGCCACACGGTTGTTCCCCTATAATTTGGAAACTGTTTGTACGAAGCCAACGAAGCAGCCAACACGTGAGGAACGCTGGGAAATATCCTTTATACCGCTGAACATTCTGTTAATAAATGATGAATAATTTTTGTCTTCCATTTCATGCCGTGACTAACCTACCTTCACTGAATACTTATTATGAGAACATGTTGCTGGATAGGTCTAAGGTTAAGGTTATATTTGAACAATTTATAACACAATACTTTATTTCTATTTCCGTATTGAACTAACTACAGTTGAAAAGAGATTTTTGACATATTCCCTTTGTATCCAAGTTACTCACATGCCAAAATAACTTTATCCACCTACACAGTTTTGTATTATATAATCGCTTCCAAAGGATTTATATGGAAGTTATTTTTCTAATTTAAGTACCCATACAAGAAAAATTACTTTTTAAAACTTTGATTTTGCCCAGACACATCAAGAAGACTGTAAATTT